GAGGATGGGAGACCAGCGAGGAGGGCGTCGGTTGGAGTCCAGCCGAGAGGTGACAAAGGCATGGACCAGAGTTTCAGTGGCTTTTGGGGAGAGGTATTGGCGGAGACCGGCGTTGCGTTGGAGGTGGAAGAAAGCGGTGCTGGTGAGGGACTGGATGTGGGGGAAGAAGGATAATTGGGGGTCAAACCTGACCCCTAGGTTGCGTATGGGTTCGGAGAGCTTTAGGGGGAGGTCGGGTAGGTGGAGGAGTTGAGAGCCGTGAGATTTTAGACGTTGTCGAGAGCCAAAGAGTATGGCTTCCGTCTTGTCAACGTTCAGCTGAAGGAAATTTGCGCTCATCCAGCCCCTGAGATCTAACAGGCAGGCTGACAGAACATCAGGGGACTGGGGGTCGCAAAGAGAGGTGGAAAAATAGAGTTGGGTGTCGTCTGCATACATGTGGAAGTGTACCCCATGTCTGCGGATGACATCCCCAAGAGGGAGCATATAGATCTGAAAAAGGAGGGGGTCAAGGATGGATCCTTGGGGTACCCCGCAGGTGATCGGGTGAGAGCGGGAGGAGAAGCCATTTGTGCAGATGTACCACTGGCGGTTTGTGAGGTAGGACTTGAACCAGGCGAGTGCGGTCCCATTGAGGTGGATGCCGGAGGAAAGGCGGTGGAGGAGGATGGCGTGATCGACTGTGTCGAACGCGGCGGAGAGGTCCAGGAGGACAAGGAGGCAGGGGGAGCTCTGGTCACAGATAGAGAGGATGTCGTTTGTGACTTTCACAAGCGCAGTCTCTGTACTGTGGGCAGGGCGGAAACCGGACTGGAGGGGTTCAATAGGGAGTGGGAGGAGAGGTGTGCGTGAAATTCGTTGGCAACAATACGTTCTAGAACTTTTGAGAGGAAGGGCAAGTTAGAAATAGGGCGGTAGTGGGTGGGGTTTGAGGGATCTAGGGAGTGTTTTTTCAGGAGGGGAGTGATGACAGCAGTTTTGATGGAGGCAGGAACTGATCCGGAGGAGAGGGACTGGTTGATGACGTCAGCAAGTAGTGGGCAGAGGAGGGGGAGCTGGGTGACCAGTAAGTTGGTGGGGAGGGGGTCGAGGCAGCAGGTGGTGGGTTTCATGGAGGTGATGGTGGGTGAGAGGGAGGAGGGAGAAATGGGGAGGTAGGAATGTAGAATGGGGGTGTTGGTAGGAGCAGATGATCAGGAAGGTGAGGGGGACAGAGAGGGCGTGGTGGTGGGTGACAAGGATCAGGTGGATGAGGCTGCCTGGCGGATGTTAAGTATTTTGGATGAAAAGATGAATACCAGAAGTGATAGATATTTGCAAACTTCCATCGACCAGTGCTATATTCCAAATAAGGGTTTCAGTGTGTTCCTCTGCCCTTGACTCAGTGGCAACTAAAATTGCTGTTCTCGTGCATAATACAAAGGAATTTCTATTCCTTTGCCGTACTACAAATAACTGGAAAATCTCATTTGAAAATAGAATCAAAATCTTCTCAGTGCAGTAATAAATGGACAGTATAAATAACAAAAAAATCTGTTTAGCAAGGACAGCAATTGTAGTTTTGTTTCTTGATAACTCAAAAAGGGACATTAAAAATGTTTTCATCAATGCCAAATTCGGACTAAAGTGTGATCTGTGGTGCAAACCTGCATTACAAGTGGTTCAGTGGAAATTGCGACCTTCTCTGCCAATAAATTCTTACTTGTGGTGTTTAAAGGAAGCAAAGTCACTTAAATTAATTAGGTTGATTAACTTGTGGTCGTGAGGAATAGCATTGGTTAAAGGGCATTGTGATCCCTCGGGGAGTGAGCAATAATGAAAATCACTTAGAACAGCTCAAATTGTATGATGGGCATAAACAGCCATGTTGTATTACAGTTATAAGCTCCAGGTGATTGAGAATAATGGTAAAAAAAGGTAGAATAATAATAATAATCCTTGCATTGAAACAGTGGATGGGTTTGTTCTAACAGATGGATGAGAAAATTTATAACCACTGCATGTTCAGGAAAATACGCAAGATGAAGCACTTACAAATAACTACATTGCCCTTTGAAAAAAAATGCAGTATTATTCTGTTTTTTTTAAAAAAACGAATATTTAAAGTACAAATTAACACAATTGAGGCTTCCATGACACCCGGAGTTACATTTTAGCTTTATTTTGAAGCATTTACAACGTTTGGTCTGACATTTCATCTGACCACAATTACACTTCGTAAAGCCTTGTCCACCACAAGTGTGGTGAAATGACAGCTTTCGACAAGATTTCTTTAAAGCCCTATTTACTTTGATTAAATTAGCTAGAATTGAATCATATTTTAGTTACTCCACCAGTTTTAAAATAATTTTATTAAAATCCACATTTCTCATTTATTCACAAAATGATGCAAAATAAAATAATTTTCCTGTCTCTAAGACAGTTTTGCAAGTATTCTCATGTCATAGAATCATAGAATTATACAACACAGAAGGAGGCCATTCAGCCCATTGCGTCTGTGCCGGATCTTTGATTCGATTCAATCCCACTCCCCCGTTCTCTCCTCAAAGCCCTGAAAACTTGTCTTCTCCAAATAATTATCTACTTCTCTCTTAAAAGTTGATATCGAATCGGCTTCCACCACGCTTTCAGACAATGCATTTCAGATCCGGATAACTGGCTGAGTGAAAACATTTCTCCTCACCTCCCCTCTGTTTCGTTTAACAACTATTTTAAATCGGTGTCCCCGGGTTACCGACCCACCCGCCAGCATTCCATAGATTATCTGAGGCCAACCCTACACTCTGAGCAGATAACTACAATATTTGGAACCTTTTAAAAGAAATTAAATGAACCATTTGCTCCATCATGCCCCTCCCTCTAATTCCCAAGTAAATCCTATGCAATCACATACTTCAGTCAATTCATTCTACCTCCTGGACCAAAGCTCCACATAAATAGTTGCACTACTTAAACCCTAAAGCCAATCAAATAATATTCTTCCACCACCTGACATCTCCACTACTCAAATGTTGCCTGCCGAGGAAAAAGGAAAGAAAGCTGATGAGATGGTTGTTCGAATGCAAAAAGAGCAAAGCATTTTCACAAAATTTGTATCACAGGATGAGATTACCAGAGTGAATTACGTGATTGCACACAAAATCAGCAAGAACAGCAAACCATTCTCTGAAGGAGAATTTATAAAGGAATGTATGGTTGACTCTGCCTTGATTTTTATGGCCAGACAAGAAAAAACAGTTCGAGAACGTTAGCTTGTCAAAGCAAACGTGTCAAGGATATCTCTGAGAACCTGTATCTGAAGTTACAAAATAAAGTAAGCAATTTTGCATGTTTTTCACTGGCACTCGATGAGAGTTGTGATGTCAAAGACACAGCCCAGTTGATGATTTTTATTCGAGGTATCACCAAACATTTTGAGCTCACAGAAGAATTGGCATCAATGCAGTTAATGAAAGCTACATCAACTGGAGAAGACTTTTAGGAAGCAGTAAATAAGTGTATCTGAAAATTAGGAGTGGAGTGGAAAAATTTGGTGAATGTGACTTCCGATGGAAGCCCAAATGTGACTGGCAAAAATGTTGGGTTACTGAAAAGAATTCAAGATCAAGTCAAAGAAACAAATCCAGAACAAATACTGTTTTTCTACACTGCATTATCCACCAAGAGATCCTCTGTAAGAGTGTTCAAAACTGCAACGCAAGTGGCCTTTGTGCACGATTTGTATTGCAGTGTCAAGTGATTTATGATGAAATTATTTATTTTATCGCGTCAGATAGCAGTTCGCCCACTTTCTAACTTTGCAACAGATTACTGTTTGCGATCAAAGCCTTAAAATGTATACTTTGTCCCTACTTGGCTTACATGCCGAATTTTCTCGCCAATTCCAGGATTTCAATTTGATCGAAAATGACCTGTCTTTGGTCTCTTCACTTTTCTCATTTGATGTTGACAAAACCCCATATGACCTCCAACTCGAATTTATTGACCTGTGATCCATTGCTTGCGGAGCAATTCAAATCAGTGCCGCTTCCTAGTTTTTATGCCTCTCATTGAATATACCTTTCCAAAGGTAAAGGCTCATGCCCGGAGGATGTTTGTGCTGTTTGGATCAACAAACATATGCGAGGAGACATTTTCTGTGATGAAGTTCAATAAATCAAAACATAGATCTGTGATGACTGATGAGTACTTTTGAGCAGTACTCCACATTGCAACAACGGAGACGACGTCTGACTTCAATTGTCTGGTTAACGCACATCAGCGCTTTCATTCTTTCCATTGAGTGAGCTTCTCACATTCTCATCAATATGTGAATAAATGAATTCAGCGCCTTGGGACGTCCTCCCGACGTGAAAGGTGCTAAACAAATGTAATCTTGTTGTTGTAAATATCGAATAAATATCTGCTCAATGAGTTGTTTTTATTTAATCTAATTTTAATGAATGTCAATTATATAGACTTTATTTCATGCATGTAAGACTTAATTTTGAGCTATTATTAATCATTTGCATCTTTATGAAGTGTGTGGCCCGCGAAGCTTACCAAAACTCGTGAAGTGGCCCACCAGCCAAAATATTTGCCCACCCCTGCTCTATCTTTACTCATTGTTATCCCAGATAGCTTTTTATCCATAGTTGTTACTCATTGGCCTATTACATATTGGAGGGCTCCAGAAAGCTTTAGGGTTTCCTGGCTCGAAGCCCATTAAATCCCTTACAGTGCTTTACTGCTGCCCAGCCAAGATCAGTGAACCCACAGAATGATGGACTCATAAAATCCTACAGCACAGAGTGAGTGGTCCATTGTGTCTGTGCCAGATCTTTGAAAGAATTATCCAATCAGTCTCAAGGCAGCAAAGTGAATGTGTGAATACAAATGCAGTCAAACCACACACACTATATGTATACATCAGTTACTTTACTGTATTGACATTGGGTTAAAATAGGTCTAACTTTCTACAGTATGTAAATGTTTTGTTTTCCATCCTCTGGTTTGTCTAGTACCTAGATAAGGTGGAAATGGAAATGAGGACCTGTGAGGAACCCAGGCCTCCTAATGGCCCATCTCCCATTGCTACAGCTTCTGGCCAAAGGTCAGTCATGAAGACTACTTTTAAATTGTCCAGGGAATGTTTGGTATCTCAATAATAAGAAATGTACATGTGGTTTGATAAATTAAATATTTTTTAAAAATTTTTGATTTGAAAATGTATATTTGCTTAGTAATAATTGAATAGTTCCACTGTTTTACTACTTTTAAAATGATTGTGGAAATAGTTGACTGTTGACTTACAAATATAACTTTTGCAATTTATTCTGAGAATAGATTTCTTCAGTTAATGATTTTAATTTAAATTTTATTTATCTTTAGTGAATATGGCTTTGCCGAAAAGGTCGTAGAAGGCATTTCTCTTTCTGTGAATTCCATTGTTATCAAAATCAGAGCAAAAGCATTTAATGCATCCTTCGAGCTGTCCCAGTTGCGAATACATAGTGTAAATACAACATGGCAACAGAGCGATTTAAGGTTCACCCGAATACTAGATCTTCAGCGTGGAGAAGTAAGTATAGGGCTTCTTTTGGGTTATGTATAATTTGTGACGATTAACTACTGACAAGATAATAATAAGCGCTCCACCACACTGCCCCGCCTGAAGGGAGCCAGATGAATGCAAGTTGTTATTGTAGTAATAATCCTTGCATTTAGTATAGTGCCTTACCAGGTTGGAAGGACATCTCAAAGGGCTTCACGGGGTGTACTGTGAAATGAAGTGACTGTATTTATAGGCAAATGCGGCAGCACAATTGTGCACAGAAATGTCACACAAACACCGATGAAACGAATAACAAATTTTATTTGGGGATTGTTAGCCCGGACACGGTGAGAAACTTCCTTCACATTTCCAATAGTGCAACAGGATCTGTAATACCCTGATCTGTAATAATAAATGCAAGGATTTTACTGTATTTGGAAAACAGAAATTAAAAATATAATCAAAACATTTAAATTGAATCTTGGGGAATGCAATGTTTCGTTGATTTTCATGTCACCGGATCCAACTGTGATTTTCATTGCGGAGTTGTGGGTATGTATAACTGGAACCTATCTCATGTTATTCCAATTTTCTCATTTGTCAACTTTCTAAATCTCACTGTTCCCTATTCTGATTACATTTTACATTAAACGTCTGCCACGTGAATCAAAACTTTTTTTCAAGATTGCTTCCATACTGAGAACAATTAGAGGTGTATGCATTCTACTGCCTAGTCATATAATGCTAGCTATGATAAAGGGAGATGTTGATACTCAGTCATGTGTGTTATATTACTTAAGTTATATGTTTTAAAACCATGCTGCGAGGGCACTGGGAGTAGTTTGTGACGTTGTGACCTTATGCACTTCTACTTGAGTGACACTAGGACAGGTCCCTGCAAGAACGCTGACCTCCACTTCCCACTGCTTTATCATTGGAATGGAATAGAATAGTGGCTCAATTGTTGTTTGCATTTTCTGATCTGATTGATTACTCATTCCACAGTAATCCATCTTTGTGTAAAATTTGATTGATACCTTAAAGATCTCTTATCTTACTGAAAAATCGGAACAGCAAATGGTTAGCATATCAGATGCATGAGTGGATTTATATGGATCAATACATTTGGATGAACTGAATGAACAATTACAGATCAATTAATTTAATATTTTTCACTTGTGGTTGCACCCATGCTTTCCCATTTGGAGCTTTTGGCTAAAAAATAAATATTTGGATAAAGCTTATCTGTGCTTCACTATGGAGAATTAGTGACTAGATATAGAGAAAGGAGAGAGAAAATCTGCGAGAGTCTCCCAGGGCTAAGTTTGCCACCTTCTACAAGATGGCTCATTGTCTGCTTGTCTCATCTGCAGGTTGGTTTGTGAGCAGAGCAAATTTTTTTTTAAGTGTGAGAGGATTGAGTACAATTGAGCATTTTAACTACAGACGATGAATAAGAGAAACATGTCACTTTCTGAGACCACCTCCACCTTGTAGCTTTTGATGTAAAGGAGTTAAAATCAATTGACTTGACCAAAAATGTTGCATTTAGGTTTACACGAATGCTATTCCATGGACTTGCTCCCAATAGGTGTGGTGTTCGGGATTGTAGAAATTTCGCCAAAATAAGAACAGAAAGTTCTTATTTTGATTTTTATAAAAAGATTTTTATGAAATCTTTTCCAGTGTATTTACATCTATTTTCCTCTCCCCCCATTATCAACACTCTCTTGCTCTTGAGTTGCTCCTCTCTCTATCTAGTTGAGTGGATGAATTGGCCTATTCCAAACTCCTCTATTGTGGTTCCTTTGTCCGAAAAGTGCTTTGAGCTGCTATCCTGTGTGAAGGGCACTATATAAAAGCAAGTTATTGTTGCAAAAGGATGTGTGAGAGGGCTTTAGACTGGTTTGTTTTCTGCTACTTCGCTGCAAGAATGCTCACCTCCACTTCCCACTCTCTGAATATATAGTTCCTACAATCAGGTTGCAGACTAGTCACAGGTATGTCCCACATTTTCGAAATAGGCTTGATTCGCAAGTGTCTGAGCAGATAAAGATGTGATCATGGTTTAAAAACACTTGTAGTATTTCAGTTTAAAACCCTTGTGTCTCTCCAGACCTGAATTAATAATAATAATGATCCTTGCATTTGATATATCGCCTTATCATGTCTTTGAGACGTTTCAAAAACGCTTCACAGATTATACTGTAAAGTGAATTGACTGTACATTTTGTGGGCAACATGTGGCAGCCAATTGCGCCTAGCAGTGTCCCACAAACGTGGATTGAGTGACCACATTATTATTTATATTTATTTTTTGAAGGGATTATTACCCCCAGAAAAGCGATCCACCAATCAACTAACAACCGGTTTCCTATTTACTGCAAGATAAACAGAGGCATGTGGAGTAAGGAGACTTGCCCAATGCTTCGCCCTGCCCGGGAATTGAACCCAGGTTCTCTCACTTGCAAGGCGAGTTCCCGAATGTGTGTATCATTACTGCTTGACAGCTGAATCCAATGTTCTTTCACATTTAGGTTCTAACATTCAAGGAGATTACCTGGCAGATGATTCGGATAGAGGCAGATGCGATTCAGAGTGAGGAACATGACATTCTGAGTGCACCAGTGAGACTTATCACGAACCAGTCCAAGATGAGAATCACCTTGAAGCGAAGGGTACAAAGAAATATTACCTTCAAAATAAATACTACATCAATAAAATGCATGCAACACTAAAATGCAATTGTAACATATTGCATAAAAGGCAAGATAAGAATACTGATATCATTTTAAAGAGTATGTCCAGTCTGAAAAATTGTAGTTACAAAGACTACAGCAAATCGCTCAAATGCTGTTTAGTGGAATCTCGACTCAGAGACCCCAGTAGTAATCCACATTCAGGTTGCTTTCACGCTCGTATTATAATTGCTAAAAGAGTGTTCTTGTGTTTTAACACCATCTGGTCAAAGTCTTTAAAATTTACCACTTTACGATTTTCAGTGTGACAGCTGCAACATGTGTAGTAAAGTACTAATCTCATTTTGAAAGCTTCACCACTAATTTTCTTCTACTGATTGGAAGATAATGGATGGTTACATCTTTTCCAACAGAACATTCTGAGCTGTACGGAAGACTGCTACTTTACATCCTAGGATCTTAGGGTGCTTAAGAGAATGTGTGCAGCATAGTGCAGAAGATGGTAAATTTACCTGCTTCTGCAACTGCTTCTACTCCTCGCTACCTCTGCAACTTCCTAACCCCTTACCAATCTACCCGCTCTCTCTGCTCAGCGGGCTCCGACCTGCTTCACATCCCCCGCCTCGCCCGCCCTACTATTGACGGGCGGGCCTTCAGCCACTCTGCCCCCACCATCTGGAACTCCATCCTGCAGTCCCTCCGCTTTTTTCCCTCCCTTGCTTCCTTCAAGACCCATCTCAATACGTTTCTCTTCGACCGTACCTTCGATCACCCTCCTTTCCCCTGACTGTCTTCCACCCTCCCTGATCCCGACCCCCAGCTCGGGTCCGACACACTGATTGTCCAGTGCCTTGAGACGTCCTCCCGACGTGAAAGGCACTCTCCAAATGTAATTTTGTTGTTGTTGTATCTGTTTGATGGGGTATGAAGGAAAAACTGAGGAGGAGGGCTGCTGTATACCTTCCTGAAGTGTGTGCCCTGGCAGTTTGATTGACAATCAGTTTTTGCATTGAAGGTATAAACAATTTGTTTTGTTCAGAGAGGATAGGATTAGTGCAGTGTGTTTGCTGGAGGAACTATTAAGGAAAATAAGACAATAGAACAGTTAACCTGTCAATACAGCATTTTTATTTTGTAGCTCTGATGCTTTATTACAGTATGTTGTTACCTTTCCTGATGAAGTGGGTAAGGCACTTCTGTGACAATGTGTTGACACTGTTATCATTATCAAACCTTTTTCAGCTAGCAAGGACCAAATATATTTAAATGAGTCTACAATAACTTTGACTGCTTGTTTGGTGTTATTCACCTGGAGTTGGGGGGGGGGTGGAATCTTACAGGTCTGATTTTGTTCTCTTTCCCTTCTAAAACAGCTAAAGGATTGCAATGTGGTTTCATCTAAGTTGGTGTTGATACTGGATGATTTGCTGTGGGTGTTGACTGACTCGCAGCTAAAGGCAATGGCACAATATGCAAAATCTCTGAGTGAAGCAATGGAAAAATCTGCACAGCAAAGGAAAAGTATGGCCTCAGAACCCACCCAGGTTTGTGGTTACATTCATTTCAGCTTCAATAAAAATATTGTTTTTGAATATATTTTTACTTTTTAGAATAACAAACAACTGGGAATAATTTGATGCATAATTTGGTGCATTGACAAGATCTTGTGATTTGGTTCATTGATCTTATCAATGCATGGTTTATATTGGACTTAAGCCCTGAGACTCTGGTAATTTATTGAATGCATTCCCTGTCTAATTTGTACACTTTAGAGATTACTTTTTAAAATCAATAAAGTTGTAAATTTTATAGCAGTCTGATATATTCCTATGGTGAATTGTTTGAATGGAAATATTAATAACTGAGCTGTTCTGAAAACATATCTGATTATGTATATGGAACAGTAGATAGTGTAAAGTATGACGTTCCAAACTGAGAGCAAAGCTCAAGTGTTTTTATGAGCATTATCTGAACCTTGAGGTATTTGATATTTTACCTATGTTCTGATCTAACACTTAATGGGTATTGCTGCAGTATAGTTACTGATATGAGTTTGTTATATGGCTTTGTGTGTGAAAATATATGGAGAAAATGGTCTCACACTGTTTCAGCATTATACCATTTTATTATACGATTCGAACCGCTAAGAAGCTTTTTTTTTGGTCAGCTGGGTGTCTTGACACATGTGGGAATCCATCACTACGCTGAAGAGAATCCAAACAACAACAACAAATTGCACTTATATGGCGTCCTTTGCGTCGGAAAGATGTCCCAGAGCACTGAACAGTCAAGAGGTTTTTGGACCCAAGCTGGTTAGAAGGGGGTTCGGGTTAGAAGGGGTGGAGGGCAGGAGGGGCGGAGGTGGGAGGGTGTCCGAAGGCACAGTTGAAGAGGAAGGTCTTTAGACGGGACGAAAGAGGCAAGAAAGGGTGTGGCAGAGGGATTGCAGGAGAGAGTTCCAGAGGGTGGGGGTAGAGATGCAGAATGCCCGACCACTAATGTTGGGGTGGGAAGTGCGGGGGACTTGAAGCAGGCTGGTATCCACCGAGCGGAGGGAGTGGAGAGGCTGATGTGGGGTTAGGAGGTCGGAGAGGTAGGGAGGAACAAGACTGTGGAGGTCTTTGAAGGTGAGAACCAGTTTTACACTCGATTCTCTGAGGGATGGAGAGCCAGTGAAGCTGGGTAAGAACTGGCGTGATTGGTTCACAGAGCCTGGTGTAGAGAGAACATAAGCTGCAGAGTTTTGAATAATCTGCAGCTTGTGGAAGGAAGAATTGGGAAGTCCAGCGAGTAGGCAGTTGGCGTAGTCAAGCCGGGACGTGATGGAAGCGTAGATCTGGTTCTTGGCGGCCTGTGGTAAGAGACAAAGGTGGAATGGGCCACGGCATGAATATGGGGTTTGAAGTATAGCTGGGAGTTGAAAAGAACAGTGAGGTTTTGTATTGGCTCGGTGAGGTGATTTTATCTGGGGGGTTGTTGGACAGGATACCAGGATAAACTACCTTCTCTTTTTGTTAAGTGGATGGGTTCTTTAATATCCACTTGGACAGGCTGATGGGATTTTGGTTTAATGTCTAATCTGAAGACGGCCCCTCCAGCAGCTCACTCCCAGCAATAAATGGAGTGTCAACCTAGATGATATGGGTTCCAAGTACTGACTCGAGGCTTGAACCCTTAATGTTCTGACCCAGTTGGGACTTTTAACTCTCGGGCTTAGCTGACACCCCAATACAGTCTGGGGAAGGGGGGAAGGGGGCTGCATTGTTGGAGGTAACGTCCTTCAGGTATATTAAACAGGTCCTATCTGCCTGTTCAGGTGGACTTAAAGATCCCATGGCATTATCGAAAAGGGAGTTCTCCCGGTATTCTGGCCAACAATTCCCCAGATAAAGTTAGTCATTTAGTTCTTGACTTTTTGTAAAACATTGCTGGGTACAGATTGACTGTCATCTTCACCTTTCATCTATAGAAAAACACAGTTGCTATACTTTACAATATATCAGAATGCAAGGATTGTTTATATTAAAATATGATTAAAAAAGAATAATTTGTAGAAAAATGATTTTGGATACATGACTTCAAAAAGAGTAAATTACAGTACTTTGCATCTCAGAGCAGTATGATTTGGGAATGTTTTGGATGGGTTGTAATTTGACCCTCAACTGACAATACTTACTGAAATGTGCTGTTGTTTGCTTTATTTTCATTGGAATTCACCAGGTTGAGCTTTACAATGTTCAGGTTATTCTAATGCAACCTGTGTGCCGTACCTACGTGGCAGTGGAACTTAAGCTTTTCTGAAATAGATCAAATATACTATAGTATAGAAGTATTGTTTTAATATAAGATTATGGTACAGACGTTTTTATCTGCACCTCTTTAAAATCTATGCTTGCACAATACTAGCGGAATATAAAAATATAAGTCTAAAAAAAAAGTATAAAAAAATAAAGAAAATGTACTTTGAGATAGTATATTATAGAAACTGTTTTTGATGGAACTCGCATAATTCTTACCACTCAATAAGACTATTTTTTAACTCAGCAAATTGCTGACTATGTTTAATACAGTTATGCATGATACATTTATGTATCAATACTTATTAAAGCATATTTGTTTTTACATGCTGAAAATATGAGCACACTTCTAACTGGGTATAATTAATGTGCACTAATATCACGACTCAATCCACAACCGTTTGTGGGACACTGTTGTGTGCAGTTAGCTACTGCGTTTCGCCCAGAAAATACAGTCAATTCCCTTTATGGTATATTCTGTGAAGCGCTTTGAGATATCTCGAATACGTGATAAAGTGCTAGTAAATCAGGTCCTGAGACACAGGGGTTTTAAATGCAAAGATTATTATTATTGTTACTAATAGGCATCAATATAACATTTCTCTTACTATTGCCAATTATTGTTAATTTTAGAATCACTGCCTGAGTAGAAGTGTTTTTTCCATTCTAAGTGTGATTCACCTGAAGTTATATTGCCAATGACTCACCTAAAGATTATTCTTTGCAGAGTGCTACTCCAGTTCCAGTCTCCCAGCAAGTCAGAACACCACAAGCTACAACTGTAGCTGATCAGAATGATGCAATTGCAAAGCTCTTCAGCGCTTTTGATGTAAAGGAAACCTCCCATCATTTAATAATTTCTCATTTGGATTTGCATATCTGTGATGATATTAATGCAAAGGAAAGAGGTACAGAGACAAATGTGTTGCTATGTTTATGGTCAAAAGTGAAATTCTGTTTCTAAATTGCTAAATTGTTTTATTACACAATTTATATAGATTCACATTTTATAAATTCATTTTTTAACATTCCATTCTTTTGACTATTACTGATGAATTGTAATAAAACACACCCACCAGTCATAAAACATTCTCACAGGGCTGTGAGTTTGTGCTGGTGATTCCTAACATGGAGTTCTAGATATCAATTTAGTGCATGGAGGAAGATAACTTTTAGAGAAGAGGGATATTCATATGGAAGGAATATCTTGAGATCCAGAATACTTGCTTCAATTTGAATAGTTCTCGTAATTTATTTCTGTCCTCAAACAATCTGTCTTCAACAGGAGTTCCCAAACAGATCACAGGAGGAGCCATGCAGCTGTCTTTTACACAGATTACAGTGGACTATTATCCCTACCACAGAGCAGGTAGAGGATGAATATTGGATTGATCTGAAAGCATTGGGAAGTTGTAGTGAATAACATGATGTTTTTCCAACACTAGAATTGGGATTGAATCTTGCCAAAATAAGATTCTGCAATGGTGCAGTGAATAGGGTTTTGCTCATCTACCACATGCGCTCTGGGACGTCTTTCCAATGTGAAGGGCGCAAACAAGTGTAATTTGTTGTTGTTGCTAAGTTGTGTTACCCACCAGGAAGCTTGCAGGGAGTTCCTGGTAGCTACCAGTGAGGACTCAAACCCTTGCATGTCAGATATCAAATGACCAACCAGTGTCTTATCCTCCTTGAGTGTGGGGGGGAGGTAAGTGGGGTCTTCGTCAAGCTGAACTGGCTCCAAGGTAACATGTTTGGCAGTGGAATGTTGGAATCGAGCCAACCCTCTGTGGCGATCTTGGTAGTCTAGTTCCTGAGCTAGACAGGTCCGCAGAATTCCAGGGCAATACAGCTGACAGTGTATCCAGCCTGGCTCATCAGCAGAACTTGGAAGGGCATTTGGAGCAGGGATTCTTCGCACACACCTCCTGTTAATCCTGCAAGCCAAGCCCTAATGGGAATAGTTGTCCTAGCTAGGCAATCAGAGGGAAAGCTTGCCAGACAATGCTCTCAATGGCAAGCTATGCAGTTTTAACTAGTTGGACTCCAGCAGCACCGCAACACACACTGTGGGGTCATCAAGCCTTGGCTCTTGCCAAACTGCGCCTAATACTTTCCGGAATTAGGTAAGCAGGATGCGTTGCTTCAGGGAGAGAGTGCGCATTCCATTCCAACAATGTATCTCTGGAATTCCCATGTGCAGGTGGGATGCATTGTAAAATTCTCAGTTTGGTTTGGATACTCTTAAGCATGGTGATGGGTTTCCACATATATCAGACACCTGGCTGACCAAAATGAATTGCCAACATATGCCTAATACTTTATGTGTATTAGGCACAGGTTAGCAAGAGCCAAGGCTTGGCTTCTGTTCCTAATACCTGTGCCTAATTAGATAAGCAGGATACGCCCCTCCAGGAAGAGAGTTTGCATTCCATTCCAACAAATAAATTTCCATGTGTGGTAAAATACATGGAATTCTCAGTTTGATTTAGATACTCTTAATTATGGTGATGGGTTTCTGCATGAGTCAGACACTTGACTGACCAAATAAAACAGTCCACAAGCGGCTGCCTTGATTCCTCGTCTGGGCTGAATAAGATGGAATAGCTGTGGCAGCAGCTGGGGTACTGCAATTGGCCTCAATATCCCTAGGTTAGAAAAATGAAATTAAATTGATGCTCATGATGACATTATTATTATAATAATGATTATAGATATGGCTCCCAAGATTTGGTTTTAAACCAGTTTTGACTGGTACCTTTCCTTTTCCTTTTTTTGAGCAGAAAAATGATTAAGGCACAATTTGTTTGTTAGATGGAGATCTATACTGCACTCTTCAACTGCAGTTAACTCAAGTGAAACGTTCTCCGTTGGTCAACAAACTTCCAGGTCTTTCCTGATCTTTCATCGCTTTCACCATCTTTCACCACTTGTGGGATCTTGATGTCTGCATCATTTGCCTACAAAATAGTCAGTCTTTCAACATGCTAAGCCACTATGAAAATATAAGCTCTTTGTTTATTCAACTTTGAGTAAGTTTATTTAATGTTACAGATCAAACAATGAATTTTAGTTTAAAAAAAACATAGAAACTGAAAAATTCCACCAGTCTTCTTCCCAAAACAGATTCAGATCCTACAAAAAATAAAAAATAGAAAAAAAATATTAAAGTTGATCAGCCTCCATTATTTTTCCTGAAGGAGGTGGGGATGCTGGGTTAATTGGAATTTTCAAGACTGAGTTCGATAGATATTTGTTTGGTAAGGGGTAAGGGGTATGGAAAAAAGATAGGTAAATGGAGTTGAGCTACAGATGATGGTGAAACTGATTTGAGGGGCTGAATGGCCTATTCTTGTTCCTATGATCCAATGATGCCTATCTTTTCAAAAAGAAAGCAAAAATTTTATTAAACGTCTATTGCAATTCAGGAGTTGCAGTTGGCTGCATTTCCCTGAAGTGATAAATTATATTTGCAGGGGACAATTGCCAGCACTGGATGCACTTCAATGAATCTACAAAAACCAGATCAAACTGGACAAAAGAATTACTGGAAGAATTCAAGTCCAATGTGGAAATGCTGAAACAAGCTGTGAAGGATTATAGCAAAAGCAAATCTGCGTCTTCACCTCCAATCGGCTCACCTCCGCACATAACAGGTACATAAGGCTTTTTTTTCCAAATTCTTTCTTTAAAAAAATTCTCCTCTAATTTTCTCTTGTCATTCCCCTTTACTTTTAAATCAACATCCAACATGAAGGCTCTATTTATATCAGGTGTCCCTCAGTAGTTGCAGCCTTCTTGATACTTCACCAGGAGTGCCTCTATTTTTAATTAATCAACTATTTTGTCAAACTCACATTTAGAATCCAAGAGAACTTCCATGAAAGCTCTGATAGCTTTCAGGGAGCACTTCAGTTTCTGGGTTAATGACAATGGCATTTTTGAAAGTCCAACTTGGTCATGCCACTCCAACTGAAGCTCTGATCACAAAGGTCTCCCAAGCATTTATCAATATACTTGGATGGACAACAACACTGCTATTTTCATAGGAGCTCATGGTCACTGGTCGGAAGTGCGGCACTTCCTGCATTTGTGTGTTGTAAGCAGGAAGCAGTGTCAGCAGCAGCTATTTTACATCGTATGTCTTTATATTTTTGGATCTGGTTTTATGGATCCAAATCATTGCATTACAACAGGGCAGACTATTATTTTTATACCATGAAGCAAAATTGTTACCAGCACCCCAGTTCTCCTTTGTTATGTTTTTGTAGTCGTCTGCTGTTAAACTTGTATCCCAATGACTTATTCTCCTCACCCAATCTTATTATCTTATTCGTGGAGTCCTGTAGCTCAGGGCTTAGAGCACTCGCCTTGCAAGCGAGAGACCTGGGTTTGATTTCCGCAGGGCGAAATGTTGGGCAAGTTTCCTTACTTCTGTAGCAGTAAGTAGGAACCTGATTGTTAGTCAATTGGCAGATCGCTTTTCTGGGGGCAAGAATGCCTTCAAAATAATTTTTAAAAAATAATTTGGTAAATCAATCCATGGCTATTTGTGAGACACTGTTGTGCGCAATTGGCTGCCCGTTTCGCCTACAAAATATACAGTCAATTCACTTTACAGTATATTCTGTGAAGCGCTTTGAGGCGTCTCAAAGATGTGATAAGGCACAAAATCAAATGCAGGGATCATTATTACTTGTATTTATTACCTTGCATTTATCATTATAAAATTGTACATGCCATTTGTCAATCCAACTCTTAAATCTATATGACCCACATATTTCCTTTTTTTTTACACAGTGTAATCAACATCAAACAACAACTTTCATATATATAGTACTTTTCATGTAGGACAACAACAACAACTTGCATTTATATAGTTCCATTCATGTGGGACAGCGTCCCGGAGTGCTTCACAGTGGTGGGGTCTGACCCTGAGCCAGGGGAAAGGGAGGGGGAGGTGATCGTAAGCACGATCAAAAAGGAAGATCTTTAGGCGGGATTTAAAAGTGGGAAGGGAGGGGGAACGGCGGAGGGATTGAGGGAGAAGGTTCCGAAGTTTCTGGGCAAGGTGGCTGAAGGCACGGCATCCGATGGTGGAGCAGAGGTAACGAGGGATGAACAGGAGGCTGGAGCCAGCCGAGCAGAGGCAGCGGATAGGGGAGTGGGGGGGAAGCATATCCGATAGATAGAGGTGTATAAGGGCATGAAGGGATTTGAAAACAAGTTAGAGGATCTTGAAATCAATCCGTTCAGTAATTGGGAGCCAGTGGAGCCTGGCAAGGACTGGTGTGATGGGGGTATGGAGTTTTGTGCGGGTGAGAATACGGGCGGCGGAGTTTTGAATGAATTGTATTTTATGTACTGTGGAGCTGGTGAGATCTTAACATCTGGTAGCGCTTCATAGAGATGGTTGGGTACTGAACGATGGGAGAGATGATCTTAGGTATGGTCAGAGGAGTGGGATTTAAAAACAGAGAGGGTGTGCGGTGGAGTGGTGGAGAGATGCAGTCCCAGAGATTGGAAATGTAGTTACTAAAGGGTAATCCACGATATTGGGATGGAGAAGGTAAGTGTATCAGGTGGGGTATGAGAAGATCACAGAGAAAGGGAGGTGCTAGAGCCTGTGGATGATTGAAGTAGGGAGACTAGTGAGGAATGAATGTGAGTTGGGAGGTAAGGAAGGCGGGCATGGGGGTTTAGGCAGCATTTTGTGTAAGGTAGGGATGGAGGAAGGCAATGTAGCGAGGATGAAGAAAAGTGGTCTTGGTGAGGGCCAGAACGCAAGGACAAATGGAGAGCTGAGGATTGAACCAAAGACCAGAGTTGAACACTGGCTTGGTGAGTTTGAGAGAAGTGCAAAGAAGGTTGAAGAGGTCAGAGCCAAAAATGAGTTGTCGGGAGCCGAAAAAGATCAATGGCGGTCCTAACTCAATTTCTAAGGCACCCACTGGTCACCTTGTTCCTTGCTGAAGACTTGTACATTTCCTGTTTATAAAGTCTTTGAAACCAAATTAACTCAAGAAAATAATGTCTGTCAGTTTATATATCAAAGGATTCTGTATCTTTCCTCTAAGTAAAGCTGTTTGTTTTTAATCCATACAGATACCACAGTTAGGCAGAAAATTGTAACAACAGGCAAAGAACAGATCCCAAAAGGGACCAGTTCTCCCAATTCTACAGCAACAACTGTTCAGCAATCAAAGACAAAACTGTTATCCAGCTGTTTTGTAATCAGAGTGGAGGATTTAAGTATTTATCAGGTGAGAACCAGATACTTTAAAGTTCTCTTTTACTTCACTTGTTACATTTTACATTGTCTAAAAACTTCACAGAGATTGTATTAAAAAAGAAAGGTAAGATGGAAACATGGTACAAAAAGAGTAAAGTTGTCCCCATTTAGTTCTGCACATTTACGTATCTTTCAAATCTTTCAGTGTCTTTTTTCACTATCCTTCCTCATTTTTTATCATTCTCTCATGCTTTGCCTTTTGATTATCCTTCCCTTAGTGGTATTTGTTCTTGTTTGTCTTTCTCTTAACTTTCCTTCCTTTCTTCCTTGCGTAAATTTCCAGTGCACGGGTTGACAAGGACGTCACATAGTCAGATTAGGTGTTAAAATTATGATTTTATTGTTTGATACAAGTTAGCAGGCACAGATTAAATAGCATGGTTATACACTGGTTGGATATCAGTAGTTTCTATCTGTAAGCAATATGTAATCACATTCAATAAATCTTACATCAAATACATACACATTTCAGGGTTAGTATTGCCGAGTTGAAATGGTGCCTGGATGCGAGGAGGTGTAATTATACTACTGGGTTTTCTGGGCTTTTGCCTGGAGATCACTTCAAGGTCTACTCTTTTTCCTGCCTTACACAGCTTTCTCTCTCTCTCTCTCTCTTTGTGTCTTTCGTTCCCTTTGTCTGGCTGCACTTTGAGTTTGATGGTCGGATGTGTTGATCCCTTTTTGAGCTGATGATCTGAACTGCTACAGATTGGCTGTATCCTTTCGAAACTCCGCTCCTCTCTGTTACTATTCTTTTACTGGTTCAATCTCCTGTCGTTCGGTTACCTAAGTTCCAGTACGCACAGCAACTAGTCACTTGGTAACACTGATTCCTGAACAGTCCCGGTGTCGGCGGTTTGCATGCCCTCTGAATCAGCAGAGCTAAACTGTCCCTCCTCGACGATTCGCTCCTCCTGTCTTCCGTACTCTTCTCCGAAAACCTTCTCTTTGGTGTCTTGTTCCGAATCCCCAATACCGGCAGTAAGCACGGTAGTCGGTTGCTCTTTTCCTGCTCTGAGTCCTGATAGTCAGAGTTCACATGCCCCCGAGTCCACTGAGCCAGCTGCCCTCCTCTCTTGGGTGCTCCTCCTTTCTTCGATATCTTTCCTTTCTAAGTTTCCTATCTTTATACCGTTCTAGCAGCATCGGCACAATAACCAGATTCTTCCTAATCGGATCTGGTCATTGTACTGCGTCTCTTATCTCCTGACCCTTGGTAATTCATTTTAGCTCCGCATTCTCTTACAAACAAATTGACTTTTTATATTTTGTTTTAATGTAAACACAATGGGAAGGGAAGCAAGAGCAAAGATTAAAAGTTTGCATTGTATACATGTAAAGTTTTAATCCTTGTTCTTGGTTCCCTTTCAACAGAAATTGCTCCCAATAAACTTTCCTTTAATAAGTGGCTTTAAAGGCTGTTTTTCCAGCTAGTGCACGGTTACAATTCTGTAGATAATACAAAACTGTATTATGGAAAAAGAGACACAAACGACAAGTGAACTGTCAACAATGCTTAGAACTTGACTTTCCTTCAGCTGATGCGATATAGGACTCAACTTTGTTCTAGAGGAGGAAAGCTGTATCATGTGTGTGAAAATTAGTGTGTGTGTGTGTAGCCAGTGATAGTTAACATGTTTGATGGTGCTGATCCCTGGTTCAGACCTAGTAACAGAGACTGGATACATTTAGGAAGTATGCAAAGTAGAATGAATCTTGGGTAATTGGCTGGAAAAGTTGCCCTGACCTACCTCTACATTTTCAGGCTCGATGCATTCCATAGTTCCCCTTCCCATTGCCTCGCTGATTATATAATCCAATTTGTTGTTGTAGAAAGACCAGGTGAAAATCTAAAGCTGAGAAGGTATGACTGTGTACAAAATAAGTGACAATGGGCAGACACCATGGTGCTTATGACTGACTTTCGAAACCTAATTGTATTAAAAATTCTTGTGTCTCAGGTGAAACCTTAAGCTTACAGAGCGCAGTATACTCTGGAGATCTTACAAGATATTGTGTACTCTGGAAATTATAGTACCTTAGGAAGTGCTGGTGAGATCACTGTGACAGAATTCTTTTTATGAAGGTCTTTTTAATTTGTTCCTTCTGTAGGTTTCCACAGCAGACCAGCGCCGAGCTTTCCCCAAGACAATGATCTCCTGCAATAAGAAGTCTTTATACCTCCCACCGGAGATGTCAGCTATTCATATTGAATTCACCGAATATTATTTCCCGGATGGAAAAGATTTCCCCAGTAAGAGCTTTTTGAATGATAATATTTATTATGTGATGTATTTTAATGTATGACGGAAGGAAAAGGGCTTACACTATAAAGCTGGCGTCCCTTTGGAGAACAGGTCAATGTCAATTTTGAGCTATAATAATAATAATAATAATAATAATAATCCTTGCATTTGATATAGCGCTTTTCACGTCAGGAGGACGTCCCAAAGCGCTTCACAGAACACACTGTAAAGTGAATTGACTGTATATTTGTGGGCGAACGCGGCAGCCAATTGCGCACAGCAATGTCCCACAAACAGTCGTAGATTGAAAATGACCAATTTAATTATTGTTTTTGGTTTTTTGGAGGGATTATTATTAGGCGTGTGGAGTAAGGAAACTTGCCCAAGGTTTCGCCCTGCCTGGAATTGAACTCAGGTCTCTCACTTGCAAAGCGAGTGCTCTAACCACTGAGCTACAGGACTCCACAAATATGGAGTTTGTGAAGCTATGATAAATCTTTGTGCGAGAAGCTAACCAAATAAGTCACCTTGACCAAAGTCATGAGTGACCAGACTCAGAAATAGAGATGTTTATCATTCCTCAGTTCACAATCTTGTAAGTGAAATTAAATAATTTCTTATCGCACAAGCTACGCTGTATTGAATATTGTGCAGAGTAGTAGTGGTTAATTTAAGAGCCAGGTTGCCACTTGCTTTCTTTTGCTGCTTTAAAAAACAGGAGATTTAGTCCATGGGTAAATTGTGTTTACTGCAGTCTGTCAGGAAGGCAAGCGCATTCGTAGCAACCGCAGTACTTCTCTTCTAAAATGTTGTTTCCCATAAAAATGCAAAGCTTGGGGACCCCATAGTGTGTGTTGGGGTACTGATGCAGTCAATCCACATAGCTTGCCATTGATATTGCTGTCTGGCAAGCTTTCCCGCTGCTTGTCCAGCTCGGACCACCCTACCTATCAGGGCTTTGGATTGCAGGGTTAACAGTAACTGTTAAAAGTGGGATGACTCCCTGCCCCCAGTGACTGGCCTGCCCTTCCAGGTCCTGCCAATGAGCCAGCTGATGACTGAACTGTCATCAGCAGTGCCCTGGAATACTGCGGATTAGCCTGGCTTAGGAACTGGACTACCGAGACTGTCACAAAAGAGCTGGTTCGATTCTGACATTCCGTTGTCAGGCACGTCTCCTTGGAACCAGTTCAGTTCCAAGGAGACCCTGCTTACCTTCCCCCCCCCACTCCCTGTTCAGCATTACCTCTGTCTTTCTGTCTGCAGCTTGGGTACACATCCCTTTCCATTGAGCGATGGTTCCACCAGTTGGAGGTGCGGAGTTTAAGCAACAGCTGCTTGCCTCTGTGTAGGCCAATCAAGGTGGATTCCAGTGCTGAATGTGTGTTCACGACAGCTTTACACAACAGCTTGTGACATGCCAGCCACTTTGATGTTCTTGAGGTCCAAGTCCAATGCTGTGTACCAGGCCTACTCAGCACCAGATGCTCAATCCAGGTCCTCATGCAAGGGGCCTTGGCAAACAGATGTGCCCGCTGTAATTTGTTGTTGTTGAAGCCGATACTCCCTCCAAGGTGCTTAGTGACAGGTCAGTGTAGGTCGCAGCCCTCCCCTCCCTGCAACCGCTTTCTGTGTTTACCACAAATGCAGCTCACCGCTGATCCTGGACTTTGCAGATGGGTCAGAGGAAGTTCTCTCCGCTGCATCCTTAGGAGCTCAAATCCATAAAGGAGGGTTGTTTGCAGACCCGTATTGTATGCCACAAGCCTGACCTATATAGGGACCTTGTTGTCCTTGAAGAGGGATGAGCGTGAACAGAGTGCCCGTCAATCCTTCTCAGTCCGGTCCTCCGGGCTGAAGTTAGTGTCTACCAAACCCTGAGGTACCGATAAGAGTCATCGATTGGGTCTTATGCCTCTTTTATCTTCCAATCAATTTCCTCAATGTTTTCCCTTGGGCTGTACAGAACCATGATTCCGCACTTGGGGGTGTCTACCACCATGTCTCACCATTTGGCCCAGTGATCAAGATGTCGGGGGCAGTGCAGAAGGACCCCAGATGAGTCCAACAGGCACTTCTGAAAACAGAAGAGCTGCAATCCTGTTAAAGAGACTTGGAACAGATACGGATACACCAACACCTTGTTGATGAATACATTAAAAAATGGGCAGCCTTGCCTTCTCTCCTTTCCAGAGGGATGCACTCAGTGAGTCCACTTTCTACCCTTATGCAGATCTTGGAGCTGGAATATACATTCCAGATATAATCCAGGATTCGGCCATGTACTCCCATAGCTTCCAGTTTCATCATTGAATCATAGAATTATACAGCATAGAAGGAGGCCATTTGGCCCATCATATCTGTGCTGGCTCTTTGAAAAGAGCTATCAAAATCAATCCCATTCCCCTGCTCTTTCCCCATAGCCATGTAAACTTGTCCTCGCCAAATAATTATCTACTCTCTTAAAAGTTGTTATCGAATCGGCTTCCACCACCCCTTCAGGCAATGCACTCCAGATCTGAACATCTCTGTGTGAAAAAATTTCTCCTCACCTCCCCACTGTTTATCCTAACAACTATTTTAAATCGGTGTCCTTGGGTTACCGATCCATCTGCCAGCGGAAATCGTTTCTCCTGGTTCACTATCGAACCCCCCCTATAATTTTGAAAACTTCTATTAAATCTCCTCTTAACCTTCTCTGTTCCAAGGAGAATATTCTTAGCTTCTCTGGCCTCTCCTTATAACTGAAGTCCCTCAGTCCTGGTACCATCCTGGTAAATCTCCTTTGGAGGCACCCCCTCCAATGCCTTGACATGCTTCCTAAAGTGTGGTACCCAGAAGTGAACACAGTACTCTAGCTGAAGGCTAAACGGTGTTTTATAAAGGTGTTTGATCATAACTTCCTGACTTTTGTATTCTATGCCCCTATTTATAAAGCCGAGTCTCCCGTATGCTTTTTTAACAGCTTTATCTATCTGTCCTGCCACCTTCAAAAATTTACTTGTATGAACCCCCAGGTGTCTCTGTTCCTTCTCTCCGTTTAAGATTGTACCATCAGCTTATATTGCCTCTCCTCATTCTTGCTCCCAAAATGCATCACTTCACATTTCTTTACATTAAACTTCATCTGCCACCTATCTGCCCATTTTTCCTCGTCACTGCTTACTGCTGTTCCTAGCTCAGTATCATCTGCAAACTTGGAGATTGTACTCCCTATACCCAAGTTCAGGTCATTTATATTGATCAAAAATAGCAGTGGTCCCAATACCGATCCCGGGGAACACCATTGCACATTTCCCTCCAGACAGAAAAATAGCTGTTCACCACCACTCTCCATTTTCTGTCTCCCAGCCAGTTCTATATCCATGCTGCCACTGTCCCTTTAATACCACTGGGCTTCTATTTTACTTCTATGTCTCTTTATTGGCATTTTTGTTAAGCGCCTTTTGAAAATCCATATAAACTGCATCAACCCAATCATCCGCCCTCTCCGTTACTTCATCAAAATCTCTTGTCAGGTTTGTGAGACGATATTTCTTCAACAAATCAGTGTTGGCTGTCCGTTATTAACCCATATTTTTCTAAGTGAAAATTTATTTTGTCTGTCTCCTCTAGAAGTTTCCCCACTACTGACATTAGGCTGAATGGCCTATACTTCCCGGGTTTATCTTTCTGCCCCTTTGCCTTTCCCAGGTTTATCTTTCTGTTCCTATGGGGGAGTAACATTTTCAACCCTCTAGTCCTGTGGCACACTCCGGTGTCCAAGGAGGATTAAAAGATTGTGAATAGAGCCTCTGTTATTTCCACCCTTACCTCCCTCAGTAACCTAGGATGCATCCTGTCCGGACCGAGTGACTTATCTATTTTGAACACCGTCAACCTTTTTTGCTACCTCCTCTCTGTTTATTCTTATCCTATCCAATTTCTCTATCCTCTCCTCCAATACTGTGGCATTGGCTGCATCCTCTTCTTTTGTGAAGACAGATGCAAAGTACTCATTCAGTACGTCAGCCATGCCCTCTGCCTTCACAAGACAATTTTCTCTTTGGTCCCTAATTGGCTCCACCCTACCCTTGACTAATTTTATTCTTTATGTACTTATAAAATACCTTAGGGTTCCCTTTTATGTTACCCACTAATCTTTTCTCATACAATCTCTTATTTTCCTTTTTCATTTCTCCTCTGTACTTTCCATATTCTATTTGACTATCTTCTGTATTTTGGACTTGACATTTATCACAAGCCTCCTTTTGCTGTTTTATTTTAATCCCTTATTCATCCAGGGAATCTATTGGTTCTGTCCCCGAACTATCTCCTTGAAGGCTCATTAGCTGTTTTTCCTTCCAGTATTTCTTTCCAGGCCACCTTGACTAGTTCCCTTTTTAACTCACTGAAATTAGCCCTCTTACAGTTGAGTATCTACACCTTTGATTGCTCCTTGTCCCTTTCCATAAGTACTCCAAACCTAATGATGTTGTGATCACTGTTGTCCAGATGGTCTCCTACTGAAACCTGCTACACTTGCCCCACTTAATTGGCCAGAACTAGATCCAGCACTGGTTCCTTCCTCGTTGGGTTGGAAACATACAGAAAGTTATCCTGCTCACATTTCACGAATCCTTGCCCCTACTTGCCCTTTACACTGTTATTTTGCCAGTCTTTGTTAGATTAATTGAAGTCCCCTATTATCACTACTCTTGGTTTTGCATCATGTGGGTCTCATGAGGAAACTTGGTCGAAAGCCTTGTGAAAGTCGATGAAAGCAACATAGGCGGTTTTTCCCTCAGCCTTATGGCTTCCGCGATCTCATACAGTTCCACACATTTCTCACACGTTCTTCACAAAAACGGTATCCAGCCTGCTCCTTCCTAATTATACTGAGAATCTCCAATGTGTGTGCTATACATGCAGTGACTATGTGAACACCACTTTAAGAGCCACTGAAATCAGTGGGATCCCTCTAGTTATCGGTTTCACTGGGGTCACCCTTTCTGTGGATAGACACCACAATTGCCCTCTGGAACACTGACGGTTGCGTGCCTCAGAAAGAATCCTGTTGAGCAGCGCTAAGAGGGCAGCTCCAAGGCAAGTTTGGGATTCCTAGGTTGGACCTGTAAGATCCTCACCATTCTCCATCTCCATCCTCAGAGCAGCTTTTAGGAATTTACCGTTGATGCTGTCCACACCATCAGGTTTACCATTGGCAATGTGCTGCAGTGTGGAGTCCACCTCCTCCCAGCAGATTGGGTCATTTAGGCCTTCAATCTGGTCCACGTCTCTCGCCAGCTCCTGCAGCCTCCATGAAGATGGTCTCTGCTACAGCCTGTTGGGTTAGAACCAGCTCCATGTAATGTTCCCTCCAGACCCCAAGGAATCCCTCATGGTCTGTTGTAGAATACTGAACTTGTCCAATACTGGTACGGGCCCAGAAAGGCCCCTCTGGTAGTAAACAGAGCTGTGTGGAATAAGGGAACTTTCCTAAGGTTTTGCCCCATCTGGGAATCAAACCCAGGTCCTCTCACTTGCGAGGCAAGTGAGCTAACCACTACGCTGCAGGACACCAAAATATACAGTGAATTAAACATTTTGTGTTGTTCCGTCCACCATCTGTCCAAAAACCTTTAATAGAATGATTTTTATAAGTGCTACATTTATATTGGTTGGCCATGATATTCAGAGCTATAAAACTAGCTGCCAGGAAATGCTCCTGCCACAGTAGTTTAATATATTAACCTTATTTGTGAAATGTTTTAAATGTATTGACTATTTGTTTTTTTTGACATTCGTTGCGGCTTTCCATTGTAGCAACATGGAATGTGTTGGACAGATTCTAAAACAATCTACATCAATGTTCAGTTGTAGATCTACTTTTCTTTGTACAGGTATTATCATTACCTCTGCAAAGTGATTTGGTTTTAAATTGGAACAATCATCTAACTTTGTCACAAGTTGATTCCTGCATGGAATTTGTAGATTGTGGCTGGAAGAACAATATTGAGTTTAGCTAAAATATTTTAAAAGTGGTGTTTTAACAATGGTGTGAGTTGAATGTTAAACATGAACACTAGAAATTTCATAAGATTTGGAAATAGTGGAAACATCTTAAAACTAAGGTTTGTGCCAGGATAGAATAGAGTTCATCATCATCAAAGTAATTTAATAATATTGTACATTCATATCTTTTTTGAACTTCAACTAAACTGTAAAAGCTAAAACATTTTTTAAAAAAGTATATTTTAACCAACATAATCCAGTCTGTAAATCAAGTTGGTAGGTTAATCTTTTTTTCACTTTGTTGGAAGGAAAATATGGTTATAATATTTTTTTCAATTACTCAGATGTAACTGTCTCGCACCTCCTGACGTGAAATGTAACTTTGTATTGTATGTGTCAGCAAACACTAAATGGAGCATAGTAATGTGACTTATAACCCGTCCAGCACCTTGGGATGTGACATGACATGATAAGCACTATGTCAATGTAATTTGTTGTTGTTGATATTTAGGGCAATAGTTCACTCTGTTCAAAAGTTGTTGAAAAGATAAATGCATTTGCGATCTTATTCATAATATAGTGTGTTATGTTTAGGGTTATCATCTTATTCAATCACCTTGGCAAATCACCCTGACGACTATTTAACTTAAAGTATCAGACTTTATGATATTTAAACCTGTGAAGGGAATGGGTAATCATAGAATCATACAGCACAGAAGGAGGCCATTCAGCCCATCGTGTCCGTGCCGGTTCTTTGAAAAAGCTGTTCAAATTAAATCCACTCCACCACGCTCTCCCGATAGCCCTGCAAATTTGTCCTCCCCTAACATCTATTCTCTCTTGTAAGTTGTTATCGGATTGGCTTACTTTCAGGCAATACATTTTCAGATCTGAACAACTCGCTATGTGAAAAAATGTCTCCTTAAGCGTTACACTTTCCATAAGATTTTATGACATTTCATAATTTCTGATTAGCTATTCAAGGACTCTATGCCTTAAAATTAGGGTTGCTGATTTTTGAACAAACAATTCCATAGATAATATTGACATTTATGTTACCTTTATTTTTAATTTTTCATTATCTTTTTGACTACTGCATCATGTTGTCACTTCCATGACACGCAAGAAATAATATCAGACCATTTTTATCATTCAAAAAAGTATAACGGTGGGAAGTCATACTTTTCTGATTTGGAGAAATTGGTAAATATGGCAAACATGGCAATTTTTACCAATTAAAATTAGAAAGTGGCAAGGCGATTTATAGTTGTGCCTCATTGGGTGGGTGGGGGCGGAAATCAGATACATACAATTCTGAGGTTCAGGGGGCTTTGTCTTTTTTCGAAGAAAATTGTATCTTTTGGTACCTAATTTTTTAATTCAATTTCCTCTTTTCCTCTGCAGTCCCTTCCCCCAATCTGTATGTACAGATGAATGCGCTTCAATTCACTCTCGACTCCAGGAGCATGCTCTGGCTAAATCAGTTTGTACTAGATCTGCATCAAAGTCTGGAACAGTTCACAGCAAACTACAATCTTGATGACAATGGGAAAAAAGACGAACATGTTGACATTCGTGTTGATGGGCTCATGCTTAAGGTAAATGAAGATTAAATAATGCAATTTGGAATCAACAGTATGTTGTGGTTTTAAGTTCATTATATAATGTAATTTTTAACACTTTAACCACACTTGGGAAGGAATAGCCTTTGCTTCCACCCATTTCCACATGCCTTTTTGTAGTTGAATTCTGTGCACTCGGTATGCAGTGTCTGATTGATTTTTGATAGACTTCTGAACCAGATTGCTCTCTTCAGAATTGCTTATCTGTTTCCGTGTATGACAATCAAAACAGCAGTTTGCTTCCACAAATTATTCATGCAGTTATTTCCTGCAATTTGCCAAAAACAATACATCAGATCTTTCTTAAAGTAAAAGGAGCTTATTACCTTCAGAAGAAATTGATGAAGGAAAAATAACATTACTCCTTTTCTAATTTCCCACACAGAACAATATATTACTCCCAACAAACAAACAAATTACATTTCTTTAGCGCCTTTCATGTCGGGAGGACATCCAAAAGCACTGAACAGTCAGGGATTTGGACCCGAGCAGGGGGATGGGATCAGGAGGGGGTGGAGAGCAGGAAGTGTAGGGGTAGGAAGGTGGCCGAAGGCGTGGTCAAAGAGGAGGGTCTTGAGACCTGCCTTGAAGGAGGCAAGGGAGGGAGCAAGGTGAATGGACTGTGAGATGGAGTTCCAAAGGGTGGGGCCAGAGAGGTTGCAATACCTGAACTGCTGATGTGGGGTGGACCGGGTGGGGGACGTGGAGCAGGCTGGAACCTGTTGAGCAGCGGGAGAGGAAAGGTTGACATGGGGTTAGCAGGTCACAGAAGTAGGAAGGAGCAAGGCGGTGGAGGGCTTTGAAGGCTAGGACAAGGATTTTGAACTCTCTTCCCTGGGAGATGGGGAGCCAGTAGAGCCGGGCGAGGATGGGGATGATAGGGTCATGGAGCCTGATGCGGGAGAGGACACAAGCTTCAGAATTCTGAATGATCTACAGATTGTGGAGGGAAGACTTGAGAAGGCCAACAAGCACGGAGTTGGCAGAGTCGAGCCTAAATGTAACATATGCATGGATGAGGGGCTGAGGGGAGAGGCAGTGGTGGAGCCGTGTGATGTTGCACAGGTGGGGGAAGGCAGAGCGGATCATGGCATGGACATGGGGTAGAAAGGACAGTTGAGAATCAAACAAGATGTCAAGGTTCCGGACTGGCTCAGTGAGGTGCAAAGAGCATCCATGGATGGTATGGAGGCACTAACGGGAGCCAATCAGGAGTGCGTTTGTCTTGTTGACGTTCAACTGGAGAAAGTTAGCTTTCATCCAGGACTTGATGTCTGACAGACATTCTGTCAGGACAACAATGGACCTGGGTGGAGGCAGAGATATAAAGTTGGGTGTCTTCTGCATACATGTCTGAGATGATGTCACCAAGAGGGAGCATGTAGATGTTGAAGAGGAGGGAACCTTAGGACAGAGTCCTGAGAACACCCCCCCCTCCCCCCCGAGACAATGCAGGGGCTGAAGGAGAAGCTGTTTGTGGAGACAAAGTGGAAACGGTGTGAGAGGTAAGATCTGAACCAGTCAAGGACAGGACCATGAAAGTTGAAGTGAGAGGAGAAGCGGTGGAGGGAAGAGTGGTCAACAGTGTCAAAGGCAGCAGAAAGGTCAAGGAGGCAGAGGAGATAGAGGGAGCCCTGGTCCCAGATGGACAAAATGTAATTTGTCACTTTGACCAAGGCTCTTTCTGTGTTGTGGGCAGCACGGAAACCCGATTGGAGGTGTTTGTGAAGGGAGTGGCGGGAGAGGAAGAAGTGAAGCTGGGACAACTCATTCCAGGATCTTGCAAAGGAAAGGAAGGTTGGAGATGGGGCTGTAATTGAAGAGCAGGGATGGGTCCAACGAAGGTTTTTTGAGTATGGGGGTGATGACTCTTTTTAAGGGGGTGAGAACGGTGCTGGGGACAAGAGGAGGTTGATGATGTCTGTAGGTAGAGGCGCAAGGAGGTGGAGCTGGGAGGTAAGGAGAGGGGTAAGGATCCTGTTGAGGGAGTAGATCGTGGGTTTTATTTGGGTCATAATGGTGGTGAGAGAGAAGGGCGAAACAAGTTTGAAGATGTGTAGGGATGGATGGGTACAATACAAAATTACATTTGTATAGCGCGTTCACGTCAGGAGGAGGTCCCAAGACGCTGGGTAGGGGCAGGAATGTGAGGCGGATGAGGTGTGGGTAGCAGTTGGAAGGGCAGATTTTCGTCTTGAGGAAGTCCAGCATCTCCTCGCATTTGGAATTGGAGGAGAGGATGGGCGACGCATGAGAGGGTGGGCGGAGGAACAGGTTGGTGATGGAGAAGCCGAGCCCAGACATGTCCTTGGCCTCCCAAGATTAGCTTGGAGTAAAAGGATGATTTAGAGTCACATGCTGTCCAAAAGCCCCCAAACCACCTGCTCCAAGAACTTTCAAGAACTCAGCTCTAGCATGAATGAACTTCAATTTAAAATGCAACATCAAGTGGTGAATTGCTGCTTTTTCACAAATCAAATAATTTCTGGATGGTAAGATGCCAGCTTACTTTTTTCAGGTGATTATAGTACAGATTGATGATCATTATAAGAACCATGAAACAATAGAACCTGCTTGTTCTCTTTTTTGTATTGAAGGTTGAAGATGATTGTGCTGTGAAATGAGTATTTAATCTCTTCAACCCACAGCTGAGACAGCACCAGTTAGATGTATTTTAGACATATCTAGATTTTTTATTTCTACTCCCTTTCCATAAGAAATATATGATCAGAATCAGTGAACCAGGGAAAATACATTTGGAATAGGATATTGATCTGAATTTTACTTCAAAAAATCTTTGTAAATTTTTTTTGCATATTAGAAGAGAAAACAGTTATATGATGAAATTTACTTCAACTTATTTTTTTCAGACTTTGAAACATAATTGTTTTACTTTTTCAGTTTATTGTTCCAGCTGATAAGGGACCTGATGACCATCAAGACCACCCACAATCAATTTCTATTCAGACAGCAGAAGTAATTGCCACAAACACAAGACATTCACCAAACTGTACATGCACTGACCTGGAGACCATACTGCAGGAATTCAAAGATGAGGAGGTTTTTAGCAAAACATTCACAACCTTTCCCAAATCCGAGGATAGTTTTAACTTACTGCACCCAGTATTTCAAAGGCACGCCCATGAGCAAGACACCAAGTTGCATGATATTTATAAAGGATTTGTTAATCCACAGTTGAGTACGAATGCACTGAAAACATCTGCTGCTACTGACCTTTGGGCGGTGCATTTCTCTCAATTTTGGGTGGACTATGAAGGTATGAAGAGTGGAAAAGGAAGGCCTGTTGGGTTTGTGGATTCTTTCCCTCTTTCAGTATGGCTTTGCCAGCCCAACAGATTCATAAAGTCACAAAGATCAATCTCGTCATCCAGACAATTAACTGCCTTAATTCCAAAGAGTGAATCTAGTGACCTGAGTGTTCGCTTGCAGCGTAAGAAGCTCTTAAGGGATTACTACAGCATGGAAGCAGAGCCTTTTACCAATGGACTGGGGAAGCCCTATTCTTTGGATGGTATTTCGGGTTTGAAATCCACGCAATCTCCTTTAGATGCAGATATTCATGTTCTTGTGTATGTGCAAAAGCACGTGAGCATACAGGTTAATCATCATCAGTATCGCTTCTTACTGAATCTCCAGCAATCAATGAAAAGGCTGCAGGAACAGTTGCAGAAGAATGTAGAGAAAGTAACTGGAAAGCCTGCAGCAGAAACAAAAGTTTGCATTGGAATGTTACTTAAGAGCACTGAAGTGGCATTAATGCTTCTTCCACTGCCTCAGTATGAAGCAGACGGTAAAGCTTCAGCTGAGAACATAAGTCCTATAGAATCTGATCTTTCACCTTCTGAAAGCAGGGATACTTTAGCAGCAGAGAACTATTTGCTGACAGCTGATCCAAGTGCCGACCATTTCAACAAAAGGAATGACAGAGCTGAAGACACAGATTTAAGTACTGTTGCTTCCATGGACCCTGTGCTTTCTAAATCTTATAGTGACTCTGCTTTAGTAAAAAATATAGTAGCACAGCCCTTTTTTGATGTCAGTCAGTTTCCAGCTAAATCAAATATCCCTGGAGGGATTGATGGAACTAGTTCAGAGAATAACAATCAGGCCAGGAGACCATCAGGTCCATCAAAGGCTGAAGTTCCCTGTGGTTCTCAAAGCATGGACCCACTGAATGTTTGCACAATAAACAAAGATGAATACAGCAATCTTACTGTGTCTAAAGAGAATGGCCCAGAAGAAATCTCAAGTATTTTGCAAAATAAACAAAATAGAACAGAAGAATCATTAAATGATTTAACAGATCATGACCAAGAGAACCGCCTGCAATTGCAAAATGATAAAAGCAAAGAAAAATTACTTTCACCAAGGTTGGTGTTACCTCATATTAAGATACACAATTTTTTGAAGTCTGACCGATCATGGCAGCAGTAAGTAAGAGGGGCGATGCCCAAATGGAGATGCTGAAAATGGCTGGCGCTTCTCTTACTATTGCATCTGTGGTGTTTGTGAAATGTTGATTCTGGACTGGCTTTGAATCCATGCATGTGTCACATAATTGTGCGCATGCTCTTTTGCTTCAAGAGTGTGAAATTAACTGAGCTTGAAGTGGAACAAAGTTAGCAGAAGCCGAGAATAGCGCTGATTTTCGAATCACATGTCAATATCTGCTAACGTGACATTGTGTGCTGGAGTCCTATAGCTCAACGGTTAGAGCACTTGCCTCGTAAGCAAGAGACCTGGGTTCTATTCCCAGGCAGGGTGAAATGTTGGGCAAGTTTCCTTACTCCACACCACCCTGTTTACCTAGCAGTAAGTAGGAACCCATTGTTATTCGATTGGCGGATCGCTAATAATCCTCAAAAAAAAAAAAAAATTTGGTCTCTCAATCCACGACTGCTTGTGCGCAATTGGCTGCCGCGTTTCTCCCACAAATATACAGTCAATTAATTTTACAGTATATTCTGTGAAGCACTTTGAGAAGTCTAGAAGACGTGAAAAGCCCTATATCAAATGCAAGGATTATTATTATTATATAGCAGGTAGTCCTGCCACAACAGACAGTGACCCACATTGATTGGGAGAGAAAGGGATTGAGAGGGGGAGAGAGACGGGAGGGGGACATCCTCATCTCCCCCCTCACTCACTCTCATATACACTTCCTCTCTCAATTACTCTCCCTCACTCCCCCCCCTTTCAGTCACACACACTCTCCCCTCTCAAACTCTGTCTCATTCACCCTCTCTCAACGTTTCTCTCCCCTACTCCCTCACATTCACTCCCTGTTCCCTTACACTTTCTCTCTCACACTCTCTCTCCCCCTCTCCCACTCTCTTACTCTCTCAATATCTCTCTCTGTTCTGTCCCTCTCTCAATTACTCTCTCGGTCTCTCTTTCACTCCCCCTTTCTTACCTCTCTCACATACATACTCTCTCTCCCCCCTGACCCCCCTCTCTCTCCCCCTCTCCCCCTCTCTCTTTCCCCAAACCACCCCTCTCTCCCCACTAACTCCCCCTTCTCTCTCTCCCCTCTCTCTCGCCCGCCTCTTTCTCCTGCCTCTCAGACTACAGCAACAGCCGGTATTATTTCCACTGTGTCCTCCCAACCACTGGCTCCTGCTGCTGCCCTGGGAGACAGAGCGGAAGTTGGAATGTTGGAAATGGTCACTTGATAAAATCAATGGCTGGGGTGATGCCTCCTGTTGGACACACTGGTTTAGATAGATAGGCAGATAACAGGACATTTTATATGCCACATACCACTGGGCTGTCATCAGAAAACGGGTGTGATGACAACACACCCCATTTATGAGATGAGGGATGACCCCAGTCCCCACTCTTGATCTCCTCCACAAACTACAGAAAATATCCTCCTGAGTCTTTTAGTTAATTTTTCTTTCTTGGACAAATGTAGTATTCCTGCTTTGTACTCATGACTATTATTGTTTTGATTTTTCTTAAATGTGGGTATGTGGGAGTTGGTGATTTTTACTCTTTACAAACACATCCACAAGTGGTTGGGGCATCCACAGACTCAACTGCAATTTAAAATACTTTGATGTATTTCTTTTCCCCCTTTGCTTGAGACCTTTTCTGTTCTCTATCTCTCTGCACCATGCATAGGAAATTCTTTGTGTATATTATTTAGTTTGATATAACTTTAATGTGGTAAACTGTTTTGTGATATCTGTGGAAGGAATATCTATAAATGGTATAGTTTGGAGAAAATGTGTATTGTTCATATAGTTCACAATAATATCAGACTTTAAAGCTGTTGCTAAAATGTCCACTTTGAATTTTTACACATGTCAGAGGAAGGTTGAAGGAACATTCGCAGTCCTCTTTGTCTAACTGCCCTGTAGTATATAAACATGTGAAGAGAACTCCATCTCAAAATTCACTGGACAATATATCGATTGATAGTAACACGCTGGAGGACCCATTAGAGATGGATGGAAATGAAAGTCTCCTTTTGTTGGAAAAGGGTAAGTTGCACTGATTACTTAAAATTCTTGCTTTTTCATCAATACTTTTTTATTGTAGAATGCTGTGATTATGCAGAATCTATTGTACGTGTCAGCTTGGCACAGTTGTAGCACTCTATCCTCTGAGTCAGAGGTTGTGAGTTCAAACCCCACGTTGAGACTTGGAATAACATCATCTAAATTCTAAGCGGATAATGCGTTACTGGGCATGTGCTGCATTGTTGGAGGTGCTGCCCTTTGGATGAGATGTTAAACTGAAGTCCCGTTTGCCTGTTTAGGTGGACTGAAAAGAGAAGCGCGTGTCCTGGTCAACAATCCCCCAATTAAAATTGGTCACTCACTCCATGGCTATTTGTGAGACATTGCTGTGTGCAATTGGCTGCTAAGTACATTGAGCATTTTTTTAACCAGATAAGGTTCAATTTAATTTGTAACATTAATCTATGGTGTAAGTTATGGTGGAATCCTGTAGCTCAGTGGTTAGAGCACTCGCTTTGCAAGTGAGAGACCTGAGTTCAATTCCAGGCAGAGGGCGAACCTTTGGTCAAGTTTCCTTACTCCACACGCCTAATAATAATCCCTCCAAAAAAAAACAATAATAAATTGGTCATTTTCAATCCATGACTGTTTGTGGGACACTGCTGTGCGCAATTGGCTGCCGCGTTTGCCCACAAATATACAGTCAATTCACTTTACAGTATCTTCTGTGAAGCACTTTGGGACGTCTAGAAGACGTGAAAAGCGCTATATCAAATGCAAGGATTATTATTATTATTAAGTTATGTCCCACTTATGACAGTGACTATACTTGCTTGAGTATTGCTTCTCATGAGTAGTAAACTCTATTTATTGAATACTCAACCTCACAGCAAAAAATATTCAATAAACCAAACTATTTATATAACTAGACTAAACATAAGAGGAGATTATTCTCGTGGCACTCAACCTCACAGTCTCCAGCTGCACTGAAACCAGAAACACTCTCCTCCACCGATCAGACCTGCCCTCACTCGGATGTGGCTAACCAAACAATCACCAGCAACCTCTCTGAGAAGTGAGGCGAGGGGAGGGGTGAAGGAGGAGAGGATGGCGACGACATTTGCACTGTACTGTAGAAGGTAGTGATTTGGGCCTATGCGTTTATCTAGACTCACATTAATTGTTTTTTATATGAATTATCACAGGAAAAATTATTCAATGAATCAAATTATTCATATGTCCGGTAGTCAGTTAACCAGTCTATATTCTTAGATGCAAATGGTATGCAAATGGTTTGGGATTCCTGAATTCTATAAAATAAACCAAACTAATCAATTATCTGATATTCAATTAACTGAATTTCACAGTACAAGAACTAGACATTTGTTTCAATGCAATATTTGTATTGTTGCAGGAAACCTATGGTTTTAGCTGATTATAGAATATGAAAAATAATTGTTATGGCTGTGAAGGCAGCATGGATAATAGAATGCAGTCTACCTTTGTCATATAAATTCTTAATAATCAATTACTGTATGAATAGACATACTAGAATAACATTATAGCCCTGCAAGTGTGAACTCTGTTAAGAATCCAAAAGCAAATATAATAATAGTATATATATGATAAATAACATACTCTGAGTTATTTCCCACAATATCATTTAGTTTTGTCTTGTTAATACCATTTAGAGATTTAATGTCTCAAGATCAATAAGATTCTCCAAATCCCTTGATTGGGATTCTTTCCAAGCTTTTCTTATTTCGTGTTTAGCTAATTCAGCGCCTTGGGACGTCCTCCCGACGTGAAAAGCGCTATGCAAACGTAATCTTGTTGTTGTTGTAGAATATATTACATAGCACATTAATATGTTGAAAAGGGTTCTAAATTAAATTGCAATATTATCTTAAATGTCTATTAATCTAAAAATGTTTTTTAAAAAATTGCAGAAGCTGTATAAGAATAAACATTTATACAGTAAATTTGGTGCTGGGGATGTGTTCCATTGTCTGAGGTGCTGTCCTTCAGATGAGATGTTGTGGGCAGAAATGTGGCATGCCGCTTTTTTTGTATTAAAAGAGGGGAGGAAAATGCTTGTTTACACACATATTGAATTGTATGTAATCCTAATATAAGACTAATTTTTCCATTCTTATTTTCTGGTTTTATATCATTCATCATTTGTAGTCAGCTTGTGCCCAGAGACTTGGAAATAAGGCTGCTGTTTAAATTATCCTTCACTGTTTAAAAAAAATCTTCAGTAATGCTTGTTCTGCTTCACTGAATCGACGATTGTGTTCATGTTCTCTCAGATGGCAGTGTTGATGATAACTCAGTCATTAGTCTTAAAGAAGAAACCTTTGACCAGAGTCCAGCAGAGAGTGCTCATGGAGCACATGGAACCGAGGATTATGGCAGAGTATCGCCAGATATCTGTAGTGCTGCTTCTCAGAGTGTGGAAGAATCCTCTGGAGATTTGGTAAAACATTAGTGGCACTCAGTTGCTGTAACATTTTTAAGATGATAATTCTGCTTGTATTTAAATGATATTGTGTCAGATCTGTCTCAATATTCCTCTTGAGTCAGAATATTGTAATTTAAACCACATTGGGACTTTGTACTCATATTATACAGCAATGTGTTTGTAGAACTCACTGCCGGAAGTGGAACTCACTGACAGAAATAGTGTTTGAAGTAAAAAAACATCAATGCATTTAAGAGGAAACTTGATATATACACGAGGGAGAAGGAAATAGTGAGGCATAGGAGGGAAGCTTGTGTAGCATATAAGCGCAAGATATAAGCATGGACTCGTTGAACTGAATGGCTTGTTTACATGCCATATCATGCTGTATAATTCTATGATCTACATTGAGTGGAGTTCCTGGTCTCAATGGAAATTCTAACTGGATTCCTTGTCAAGAAATCCTGTAAATTTGAACCTTTTTTTTCTGGTTTTCAATCATTATTTCAACCATTCCTAATGCTAATATGAATTGATGGGTGACATTGAAGATAAACTTGAATAAGCACTTCCCCGACCATCCAACCTTGTATTATTTAAAGCCAGGACTATTTTTTCTGTCTCAATTAGTTAGTAAGTTTCTCTTAGTTTGCTCTCTCTCCCTCCAACCAAGAAGCCAAGGAGGCAAACTGCCTCTAGCCCTCTGCATTTGCCTCAATTCAATATATGAGTAGAACAGAACATTAAACTGTCCTTTTGGGACAATACAACTTGTGTCAGGACCACAAACAGAAGGACAAAATCAGTCAGGATTTCTGGTCATTAATGCTAATCATGGACCTTTTAGGAAAGTGTACTTTTGTTGTTGTTAGATTGAGAACAAGATCAACTTCAGCTGTGATGCTTTTTATGGTTCACTGTCCTGCTGACACCAAATCCCTAGTTTTACTTTTGAAGAGTAGCTGCGTGGTGAAGTTTGGAGGTCACAGAGAGGACCGTTGAACCATACCTTAATAGGGGGAGTCAGTGCCTTCAGGGGAGGAGCAACAAAGAAAGGCAGCAGAAAACTGGCCAATAAAAACACAATCTCCTGCGCTTTACATCTTCTGTCCATTGCTTTCTTATCAAGCTATTAATTGATGTTGCTGTGAAATTTCTGTGCCCACTGAATTGTCACAGTTAGTAAGTCAGACGAGGAAGGTCATAGCACTGCCTTCTCTAGATGGTGCAAATCTCACATTGTATTGTTGAATTGGTCTATGACTTAATTTATATGAGCATGTACAAAAGTGAACACATTATTTCTCTATTTATACCATTTAAATATTCAGTTGAACATCAGTAGAATTATTGTTCAGGATGTTGATTGCCTATCACAAGATCGACCACTAGTTCAACCCATTACATAATTGGACTGGTGGCCATTTCCCTCAGAGTCCCTCAAAGTCTCATCATTGAGTGGTGGGATAAATCTATTATCTCCCTACTAGCTTTGGACTTTATAGGAAATGAAATGGAGAAATTTTAGCTGGTTCCTGCTGGGCATCAGTTCATAGCATGGAATACCACACATTGCCAACATAATTAGCACTAAATTATTTTCACTCCAAGGTTGTAGATATGAGGAAAAGAAATAAAGTTCATACTCCTGATATGTTTAGTTGAGGAAGGGTAGGAGGAGACTCATGTGGAGCATAAACGCCGGCATAGACCAGTTGGGCAGAATGGCCTGTTTCGGTGCTGTATATTCTAGGTAATACTGTTTTACAGATGGAGGGGTTTGCATTTTTGCAGCAGAATAGAGGGAGCTTTACTCTGTACCTACTCCATTCTATATCTAATTTGGGAATGCTTGATGCTGACGCTGGTTGCCAAGTATTCTGTTTCTCAGTAGTGACCTTCATGATCACAAAAAAATTATTTTTGTTTACAAAAAGCATATTTCAAAACTATTTTATCTTTGTGACAGGTTTCTGTGATGGTTTTCAAAGCATTTGGTATTAACTGTGGGATTGATGTGAAGGGAGAGGATGCAGCAGTGTATCTTCAGATAAACCAGGTATTACCAAACCAACTGGGAAATGTCAGTGTACGCCAGTACCTCAGCAACCGCAGCATGGGTATGTACCAGTCCTTTCTGTATTGAATTGATATTTTACTTGAAGTTGCTAAACAAAAATAAGCCGCAAATATTAAACTTAATGATCGCTGAAACCAGCAATTTAATCCCCAACATTATATTTGTCAAGTCTCCCCTGTAAACTGTGTAAAGTGCTTTGAAATGTCCTCTTGAAATGAAAGTTTCTATATAGATTGTATTATATGAATCTGATGTTCCACAGAAATGTCTTGATTTTCTGAATATTGTGGAGTTCTGTAGCTCAGCGGTTAGAGCACTCGCTTTGCAAGTGAGAGACCTGAGTTCAATTCCAGGCAGGGCGAACCCTTGAGCAAGTTTCCTTACTCCACATGCCTAATAATAATCCCTCCAAAACCAAAAACAATAATAAATTGGTCATTTTCAATCTACGACGGTTTGTGGGACATTGCTGTGCGCAATTGGCTGCCGCGTTCGCCCACAAATATACAGTCAATTCACTTTACAGTGTGTTCTGTGAAGCGCTTTGGGACGTCCTCCCGACGTGAAAAGCGCTATATCAAATGCAAGGATTATTATTATTATTATATGCCTGAAATATTCTTATTTGGAAGAGCTACCCAATCAGTCCCACTCCCCCACTCTTTCCCCATACACCTGCAATTTTTTCTTTTTTAAATACCTATCTAATTCCCTTCTGAAAATTATTATTGAATCTGTTTCCACCACCCTTTTAGGGAGTGCACAACTCTCTGTGTAAAAATATTTCTCCTCATCTCCCTTTTGGTTCTTTTGACAATTATTTTGAATCCATGTCCCATGGTTACTGGCCCACTGGCCAGTGGAAACAGTTTCTCCCTATCTACTCTTACCAAAACCAAAAATTTTGAATACCTCCATTGAATCTCCCTTTAACCTTCTCTGCTCTAAGGAGAATGGTTCCAGCCTATCTTGTCTCTCCACATAACTAAAGTCCCTCACCCCTGGTGCCATTCTGGTAAATCTCCTCTGCACCCTCTCCAAGGCCTTCATATTCTTCCTAAAGTGTGGTGCCCAGAATTGGACACAATACTCTTGCCGAGGCCTAACTAATGCCTTATAAAGGTTTAGTAGAACTTCCTCGCTTTTGTACTCTATGCCTCTATTTATAAAGTCAAGGATCCCATATGCTTTTTGAACAGCTTTCTGCCACCTTCAGAGATCTATGCATGTGAACCCCTAGGTCTCTCTGCTCCTGTAATGCCTTTATAACTGTACCATATATTGTATATTGCCTCTCCTCATTCTTCCCCCCAGAATGCATCACCTCACACTTCTTTACATTAAGCTTCATCTGCCACGTGCCTGCCCATGTCTATGTCCTCCTGCAGTCTGCTACCATCCTCCTCACTGTTTACCACGTTTCCAATTTTTGTGACATCTGCAAATTTTAAAATTTTGCTCTTTATACTGAAGTCCAAGTCATTCACATATATTAAAAAGAGGCGTGGACTTAATACCGAACTCTGGGGGACACCACTGTATACTTCCAGCCAGCCTGAAAAAGAACCATTCACCACTACCCTCTGCTTCCCAGCCAATTTTGTATCCATGCTGCCATTGTCCTTTTTATCCCATGGGTTTCAATTTTGCTAACTAGAGGTCAAGGAACTCGAGGAGACAAAAGAAGCCCTGGTAACAGATGGACAAAATATTATTTGTAACTTTGACCAAGGATGTTTCTGTACTGTGGCCAGTGCGGAAACCGGATTGGAGTGGTTCGTAGAGGGAGTGGCAGGAGAGGAAGGAGTGAAGCTGGGTAGCGACAACTCTTTCCATAACCAAAGGTAGTTGCAGAGGAGAAATGGGTCCAGGGACGGTTTTGAGAATGGAGGTGATGATGGCTGTTTTTAAGGGGGTGGAAATGGTGCCAGTGGACAAGGAGAGGTTGATGATATCTGTTAATAGAGAGGCAACTAGATGGAGCTGGGAGGTAAGGAAAGAAGTAGGGATGGGTTTAAGGGAGCTGGTTTATTTTAGTCATGATGAAGGTGAGATAAAAGTGGAAGAGGTTTGAAGGTGTGGGTGGAGCGGCTGGAGTGTGAGAGGGAGGTGGGGATGGGGTGTGAGGGAAAGTTGGAAGAGGCCTAGCAGTAGAGAGGGCAGAGGGAGCCGAGCGGATCCTCTAGAATGAGCAAGCTGGGAGAGGATGGCTGGAGGATTCGGTTTGTGATGGAGAAGGCCCCCAAGATTATCTTGAAGTAGAGTAGATTCTACTGGATTTGAACCAGGTGCGTTCGTGGCAGGAGGAATCCCAGAGGGGCAGCAGTTCAGATGATTTTGGGCAGTGGAGAGGGAGTGAAGGGAGATTTTATTCCCGGGGTGTTAAGATATGGAGGTGGCAGAGAATGGAGGAGTAAAGGAAGATGACGTAGTGGTCCGAGATGGCTTTGATAGTTAAGTCCGATATGCTGAGGCCCTGGGTAATCACCAGATCAAGCAGGTGGCCATGGGCGTGGTTGGCAGAGTTGATGTGCAGAAAAAGGTTGTGAGAGGAGAGGAGGGACAAGAAGTCATCAGACGTAGAGCAAGATAGGGTGAAGTGGAGGTTGAAGTCGCCTGAGATGAGGAGGCTTTCAGAACAGAGGCAGAGGGTCGATAGAAGTGTGGAGATGTCAAAGTATGTTCGGGGAAGAATTGGCCTATAATTTTAAAGAGCCTTATTAGTAGTAGTTTTTATATGTTCTTGTTTGAGTTTAAATTAAGCTTCCTCCCATCCCACTCGAATTCTATGCATCTTGTTTCAGTCTTGTGCCAATGGCAATCTACAGATGGCCACTAGAGGTGCACAAGAACTATCCAAAGAGACCCCTTTCCAACGATGTCCAACTCTTTGGAGAGAATTGCTTCACTGCCACGATGCATCTGTGTTTTATATAGCCTTTGTCTTTTTTCATTATTTAAAAATTTTCTTTGACCTTGGTATTTTAGAAAATGTTCTTTGAAGCAAAAATTCATCAATAGTTGAAAAAAGATACTGCGGCTTATGTGTTAGGGCTTTGGGAAGTTTGGAGGAAGTTCTCATTTTTTTTCCTGTACAGGGCACTCCATAAATACAAATGTACATCCTAAAACCCGCAATATTGGAGAACTAGTCTGCAGACCGACATTGTTTTTTCCCTCGGCGTCTAATGGAATAGTAACTGCATAATCTGTTGCTCAACTCCGTTAGCTTCAGTTATGATGAAACTTGTCAGCTCCTAGAGCGTGCTGGTAATACCTGTTTCCAGCAAAACCGCCACCAGACACGAGGTGACATTGGTGGCCGTAGAGATGTATGGCATCTGGACCATTTGTCTTATCAGACATGAGAAAGCTTTGTGGACACCGATGTAGATGGTTGGAGAGGGAAAACAAAATATGAATACAGTTTTATAAAAGAAGCTTTGTGGAAGGTTTTGTGGGGTTCCCCTTTTAGTTGTATTTAATAATGTTTGCACATTTAAAATCAAAACAGACATTGATAGAAAGTTTTAATAACTGTGGCAGACCAATGCAAAAGAAGCAAGCTTCATGTTTGCCATGTCATTAATATTGATGCAGTGTAAATAATGGCCTAAGTTTAATGCCAAAGTCCCCCATTGANTTTTTTTTTAGCATTTGTTTCCAAGTATCAAAGAAACACCATTGAAGATTAAACTGGGATCTATTTTGGGTGTTTGCATTGTAGGTATTCAAGGTTCAGGGTCTGCAATTTTGCAAGTGCTGCTTTATCTATGTTCAGAGCAGCGTTGGACTCATTCCTTGAGAAGAGACGTTTTCCCAGTGTCCTGGCCAACAATCCCTCAGATAAAATTGGTCATTCACGTCATGACTGTTTGTGTGATATTGATGTACGCAAATTGGCTGCCATCCAAATTGGATTTGCACCAAGTGCATTTGGCAGAGCGCACCTGAGATTTGAGGTGCCTGAGAATAGCGATTTTCACACGAGTCTCCCTGAGACATCCTCCTGATGTGAAAGGTGAAATGCAAGGTGTATTATTGCATAATGTACCAATTTTAGGAATAAGCAGTTCCACTTTAGTGATCTTCATGGAATTCTTAAAATACAGCCTGGCATTCTGAAATATTTTAATTACAACAACAACAACTTGCATTTATAGAGTGCCTTTCACGCGAGGTAGCTTCCCAGAGCGCTTGACAGTGGAGGAGTCTGACAAAGAGCCAGGCGGGAGAGGGAGGGGGGAGGTGCCGTAAGCACGATCAAAAAGGAAGGCATTTCGGCATGTTTTGAAAGTGGAGAGGGAGGGGGGGAAGGTGGAGGATTTGAGGAAGAGAGTTCCAGAGTTTTGGAACATAGTGGCTGAAGGCACGGCCACCAATGGTGGAGGAGTGAGCAGAGGCAGCGGGTGGTGGAGTGGAAGGTAAGCAGATCGAATAGGTAGGAAAGTATGAGGGCATGAAGGGATTTGAAAATGAGTGAGAGGATTTTGAAATTGCTTCTGTTCAATAATTGAGAACCAGTGGAGTCTGGCAAGAACTAGTGTGATGGGGGTACGGAGTTTTGTGCGGGTGAGTATCCGGGTGGACGAGTTTTGGATTAATTGGATTCTGTGTTCTGGTGGAGTTGGGGAGACCAGCGAGGAGGGTATTTGAATAGTCCAGCTGGGAAGTGATGAAGGCGTGAACGAGTGTTTCGGCTGCGTTGATTGTGAGGTGCGGATGGAGGTGGTCAATGTGACAAGGTGGAAAAAAGCGGTCCTGGTCAGGGAAAGGATGTGGGGTAGAAAGGAAAGCTGGGGATTGAATCTGACGCCTAAGTTACGCACCGGTTCGGTAAGTCTGAGGGGGGGCCCGGGGAGTTTGAGGAGTTTAGATCCATAGAAGAGAAGATGTTGACAGGAGCCAAAGAATACGGCTTCCGTCTTGCCGACATTCAGCTGCAGGAAATTCGCGCTCATCCAAGCCTTCATGTCCGTCAAACAAGCTGACAGGACATCAGCGGACTGGGAGTCGCAGCTGGAGAAGGAAAGTAGATTT